TGATAGAATTCATCCTTGATTTCAGGTATACTGCAATCGGTCGGTGCATACGCCGATACGACGAATAAGCATCGACGCTTCATTTTGTAGCTGTTGACTCGAACTGAACCGTTGAGACGTACAGCGCACAATCGGCTATTGACTGGAATCCAGTCAAGAAGCGAGCGCTCAGCCTTGGCACTTAGCGCAATCCCGACAACAGCAACATCGCGAGCTTCGGATGCCGAATCACCTGACACACGAAAGGTGAAGCTTGAGGTTGAGGTTGGTTCAGGAGAACGCAGCGAGATAATGGAAGTAGGGTCTTGTATGCGTGTTTCGGAGACACAAATACATCTACATTGGAAAAAGTGTTTCGAGAGTTTTAACCAGGGCAGCATTGGCCAATCTGATAGAGCGTGCCACTATTAAAGACACTCAGTCATATCACTCAGTGTCTCTAATTGTTGATAACAATGGTTCTGAGGTGCCCATCCAGGGAGCCTAACTGATCCGATATCCTGAATGTGGTTTTCATACCCCAGTGAAAGGTCTAAGCTTGACGACCTTCGGCTTTATTCCATATGCTCACTGCTTTGGGAAACATCGCGCGCCGTGGCAACGTATTTGCTAACGTGCCTAACACATCCCAAACAACGTGACCTATGGAGGTCGATCACTCTCTCCAGTGGGCGACTGCGTTCACCTAAAACTCTGCACCTAACCCCATCAGCGCTCGTACGGTTGCCCCTTCAGATTGGTCCAATGCTTCGTAGACAGTGGTGTTCGAACATCAACATCTTTATTTCGTTCTCGTAATGGCCAAGTCTCCGCACCGTAGAACAAAACTGGTCGAACTGCCGCAGCATACATTTGAATCTTCACAGACTGGTTTGACCCAGAACCAAAACTCACTTAAAATAGAAAAGTAAGAGGTAGTGAACTAATTTGCATATTGGGGTATCTATGTCTCATCCGACGGAAGCATCAAGGATAAAATCTCGGGTCTAAGGCACAATTGTCATTTGCCAACCTGAGACACCTAGCTCTGTGAAGGATCGAGTATATGCTACAGCGGTTCAGCCGGTACCGTTATACGGCGTCGTATAAGAATCGTAGCCATTAGCAAAACAAGACGATAGTTTTTCGGTGCTCGAACATCGCTGTGTACGCAGTATGGAACGAGTCTAGTGGGGTAACCAGACAAGCAATGCTGAAGTGAAAGGCAGAGTTTTGGGTATTCGCGGTCGACGGCGCTTGTTAAACATGACACGAAATAGTTTTTTACGGTGAGCATTTTTCGCTGGAGCAAGGGTGATTAGACTAAACCCTAGCCTGCTCAGTTTTAGTTTGTACAACCACTAATTATGCACTTTCGTGCACCGGTTTTGGTTGCCGTCTTTTGGGGCGCCCGTTTGGATGAACAGTAGGAGGATTGAAAGTAGAATCGAGGAGAAAATTGAGAAGTTCTGTGGACTCCTGTTGCAAAGAAATTGAGATGCACGGACGACACTGTTGACGACACCCATTCATATCTCTGAGTATCTGTAACCATCAGTTACGATCATCCTGAGGTCCCCCATCCCATCCAGGGAGCCTAATAGGACCTATGTGACCCAGTAACCGGGTTAGGTTTTCCATACCGTCAAGACAGATCTTAGCTTGACCACCCTTGGCTTTATTCCAAACACTATCTATCTCTGCGAACATCGCTCGCCATGAAAACCAATTTGGTGACTTGCGTAAAACGTTGCTTGCTCATATAGCTATAGGCTTCCCAGATGGGGACCTTGGGATTAACATAACCGACGGTTAGACACCGAGCGAAGTTGCTGAGTTTCGTAAAGTGTTCCTGCAACCTAATTCCTTATGGATTCTCTATTTTCACCTTGACACAGTTTTCAACTTTCCAATCTTTCTTTTACTATTTAATCCAAATGGGCAGCTGAGAACCTTACCGCAAAAAGGCGTGGGTGATTGTTATCAAGACAGAAAGTGAACTGAGTTTAGTCAAACAGCATTGGTGGTAAGGGTTAGCATTGTCGATCGCCGTAGTTGAGTAATAAGCCATTAGATGCTTCGCCATCTATGCCTATTCTTAAACGCCTAAGTGCCTGGTATAAACTTATGAGACTGATAAGCTTTTCAAACATACTATAAATCCCTGTCGACAGAGTCGAACATGGCTCTGAAATCAACGACATACATGCAATAAAGACGGTGTTTACTTGCGGGCATGTTTCAGCGTTAGTCTGCAACCAGCAATAACTCTACTGATAAACAGTCATGATTTTCTGAATCTAGATAACTCAGTCTATATTTCTCACCCTTCCTTTATTTGTTCGAGTATTGCAACGCTCTCCGTTACTCTACAACCAAAAGGGTAGACCGTAAAGTGATCGTACAGTCAAAGAACCGACAGCCCATTCCATGGAACAATCCCAAGGCCCAGGTGAGATAGTGCTGGACGATTTTGTAGTTTGAACTTGCATGCCGTTGCCCTTCCATCAAAACTATTGGCGTATACCCCTGCGGTTCGTAGCATTCTGATTTGTGAATGGGAATCCTGGATTAAGAGAGCTGATAAATCTGACACAATGTGTGCACTCACTGCAGTCTACGGAATTTATCGCATCTGATGTGAACATTCAGTGAGTAATGAAGAGGTTATTCTAGCTGCTAACTGAAGAAAACCGCAGAATTGTGGAAAAATATATGCAAATGACCGAAATCCTGCTCTCCTGATAGGAACCAAAATGAATAGTTACTGACCGCAATCTTTGCAAAGTGAACAAATGCAACATTATCAATGTCAGATTTGCGATGACTGCAGACAACCACAAAGGTTTGCAAAATTCCATCAAATGTAAATTGTATTGTTCATAAGGGTATGCAAATTTTGCGAAGCCAACGCTACAGACAATTGACGCCGACATAATAGAATGAAGCTCGAAAAAAATACAAACACTTTGTATAAAATAATACTGACACAAAGTTTCGTCGGAAAAATTTGGAGAATTATTTATGTACACTCACTTGGAATACTATATGTAACATCTTTGGATTCTTTCTCTATCTTCACGGATTCCGAAGTAACAGCCATTATTCCAACAATGCGCAGAGCAACGTTGCAAAACTTTTGTTTTAGGCGCTTTCAAGGTCATTCCTTGTTTAGCGTCGCTGATGCAGATAGCGTTACATCTCACGCTGATTACAAAAAGCACCCCGATTAAGCTGTTTCCATAGAAGATTATCAAAAGAAATATTTTTTCTGCCTCCAAATCAAATAAAATCTGTTCCAGTAAGAAACTCATCAATTTTTTTGGAATGAATTTTCTGGATTCTC